GCCCCTGGGCAAACAGGCCCCCGAACTCAGGAACGGCGCTCTCGCTCGAGATTTTCCCGTAATTCGGGCAAGTTGGTGGAGGCCCTGACACGGCGACGAGAGCTCCCGTTTGATATTTGTCCATGGGTATTCCGAGAGCCCCTGACCAGAGAGGCCCCCGAACTCAGGAACGGCGCTCTCGCTCGAGACTTTTTTGCTCTTCTGTCATTGGCCGACAAGGAAGATATTCCCCCCGAAAGGTGGTGCAATCGCAGACGAGGTGGGCGGGTATCGAGGGCTGGGGTATACAGAATGCAAGACACGAGCGCCAGTAAGAGCGAACAGTCTCACATTGATTTTCGTTGTTGTCGTTGTTCCCTACCTAGGCTCTGCCTAGAGGGTTCTTACTCTCTTAGCTTAAAGGGGCCGGGCAGTGCTACACGCCCCGGGCGGTTCCCCCGGTCCCCGCCCTGCGGTTCCCCCAGTCCCCTGGGAGCTTTAGCTTTAGCCTTAGCTTTAACTTTAGCTTAGCTTTAGCTTAGCTTTAGCTGAGCTTTAGTTTAGCTTTAGCTTAGCTTTAGCTTAGCTTTAGCTTTAGCTTAGCTTTAGCTTAGCTTTAGCTTAGCTTTAACTTAGCTTCAACTTAGCTTTAGCTTAGCTTTAGCTTAGCTTTAGCTTAGCTTTAGCTTCAGCTTCAGCTTGAGCTTATAGTTAGCTTAGCTTTAGCTTAGCTTTAGCCTAGCTTTAGCTTAGCTTTAGCTTAGCTGTAGCTTAGCTGTAGCTTAGCTGTAGCTTTAGCTTAGCTTTAGCTTAGCTTTAGCTTTAGCGTAGCTTTAATTTAGTTGTAGCTTAGCTTTAGCTTGGTTTTAGCTTAGCTTTAGCTTAGCTTTAGCTTAGTTTTAGTTTAGCTTCAGCTTAGTCTTAGCTTAGCTTTAGCTCAGCTCAAGCTTAGAGTTACTGATACTACTAATGCTGCTTTCCTAGGGGCTCCAACTCCTAGGTAGGGTCGCACTGGGATAATTGTTGTTTTGATTGTTGTTGTTGAACTCTCATTTCTGAATAATAGTTATTGTTGATCCCTCTCACTGGTGCATACTGTTTTTCTTAATCAAAATGTGCCTCTCGACGCTCGCACCTTGTGTCCTTGACAGGGAAAGTCTTGTTGCTCAAACTGCGCCCCTGGCCCCCCGGATTACAACAACAACGGCTCCCGCCTGAGGTTTCCTCAAAATTTACTCAGGACCCCCGCTCCCTCTTGAGAGTTCTTCACAAGGTACTCAGGATCGGTGCTCCCGCCTGTGACTTCCTTGCAATTGAGTCAGGACCCCCGCTCCCATCTGAGACTTTCTCACAATTTACTCAAGAACGGCGCTCCCGCTTGAGACTTCCTCGCAATTGAGTCAAGACTTCCTCGCAATTTAATCAAGACCCCCTCTCCCGCCAGAGAACCCTTCACATGTTATTCAGGAAATGCGCTCTAGCCTCTGACTTCCATGCAATTTATTCAGAAATCGCGCTTTCGACGCTCAGGAAGCACGCTGCGCCAAGGACGCCGTCACAATATACTTTGGAATCGCGCTCTCGCCATACTCAGGCATCCCGCTTGAATGTCCCACCCGCCCGACCCGCCCGTCAGGGGATCGCCCGCCCGTCGTGGGCTCCCGCCCGAGACTTCCTTCAGGAATGGCGCTTTCTCCTGATTTCCTCGAACGTTCACGCTCTTACCTTCCTGCTCCTCCTCCCTCTCCCTCATCCCTCCTCCCTCCTCTCCTCCCTTCTCTCTCCCTCCTTTCTTCCCTCATCCTTAAGCCTCTCTGCCCTATGCCCTCTCCCTCTTCTCCCTCCTCCCTTCTCCTTCCCCTCTCCTGCCTCCTCCCTCCTTTTTTTTTTTTTTTTGTTGTTTCTCTCTCTCTCTCTCTCCCCTCTCTCTCTACCTCTCTTATCTGTCTTTCTCTCTCTCTCTCTGCCTCTAATCAACCGCACCCCTCTTCGCTCCTTCTCTCCTGGCGTTTTCCCTCTTCCTTCGTCCCTCCCCCTCCCTTCCTCCCGCTCTCCCTCGTTCTCCCCCTCCTTTTTTTGCAGGGCCCACATCAATTCCAATGGCGGGCACATGTACGCCCACGAAGGATTGTTCCCCAATCAGAGCTTGCCTCTGTAGGGGCCCTAGCGGATTTATACGGTTAGGTTCGGTTTGCCGCCGATTTTCACTGGTTGCCCCCCGGGTGCTTGGGTGCCCAGGTGCCCGGTTGCCCGGGTGCCCGGGTGCCCGTGTGCCCGGGTGCCTGGGTGCCCAAGTGCCCGGGTGCCCAGGTGCCCGGTATCGCTATATAGCCCTATAGCCCTGTAGCCCTATAGCCCTATAGCCCTAAGAGCCTCATAGCCTTATAGCCTCATAGCCCTATAGCTTTATAGCCCTACAACCCTACAGCCCCATAGCCCTATAGCCCAATAGCCCTATATAGCCCTATGGCCCTGTATCCCTGTAGCCCTATAGCCCCATAGCCTTCTAGCCCTATAGCCTTATAGCCCAATAGCCCTAAGGCCTTAAACATATTATGATTGGGGTTTTCTCCAGTATCATCCGCCCGTTCAGGTTTGCCCGTCTGTCGAAGCCCGCCGCCCCCCGCAAAGAGAAATAGTCCCCCCCAAAGGGGGTGTGATCGAAGACAAAAAGGGCGGGTATCGAGGGTGTGGGGAACTCGTTCTGACTGACACACGGGACTCGTTGTTGTTGTTGTTGTTGTTGTTGTTGTTGTTGTTGTTGTTGTTGTTGTTGTTGTTGTTGCTGTTGTTGTAATTATGGTTGATCCCTCCCTTCTGGTGACCATTATTGAAGTGCTTCTCCCAGGGCTCGCACCCTTTTTTAATCAGGGAAGGTCACGGGGCTCAAAATGCGTTTTTGGCACCCGGATTACGAGAACAACAACAACGGTTCAAGCGTGAGACTACCTCACCAGTTAGTCAGGATCCCCGCTCCCGCCTGAGATTTCCTTGCATTTTACTCAGGAATCGCGTTTTCGTTGGGACGTCCTTACAATTTATTCAGGAATCGCTCTCTCGGCGGTCTGGAGTCGTGCTCTGGCTGGAGACTCGCTTGCAAATTACTCAAGAATCGCGCGTTTGCGTTGGAATCGCGCTCTCGCTCCAGACTTCCTCGCGATTCATGCCAGACGGTCGCTTGAGCAACCCGCCTGCTCGACCTGGCCCCCTGGGCCCGCCTTCCCGCCCCGCCGGCTAGGGTCTGCCCGCCCGGTTTGCCTGTCTGGTTCTGCTACGTGTTTTCTCTCCGTCCCCCTTCCATCCGTCCTCTCTTCCCTTCTTTTAGGAGCTGCACTATATGCACGTGGCAGGTAAGGAAGATCTACCTCCATGGAGGGTGTGATATGATCGAAGACGAAGAGGGCGGGTACAGAGGGCTTTGGATATACGTGTTGAATGGCAAACGAGCAGACAGAAACGAATAGTCTTAACATGAATGTTGATGCTGTTGCTGTTGCTGTTGCTGTTGTTGTTGTTGCTGTTGCTGCTGCTGCTGCTGCTGTTGTTGTTGTTGTTGTTGTTGTTGTTGTTGTTGTTGTTGTTGTTGTTGTTGTTGTTGTTGTTATTCTTGTTGTTCTTGTGCTTGTTATGTGTGCATTTTTTGTTGAGTGTCTGGGCGATAGCGGCCCTCTCCCTCCCCCCCTGGACCTCGTCACGCTATTTTGCCCGCAGTCGCAAAGATGTCTTACGAATTCTCCGAGGGTTTCCCAAGCTTCCCGGCGGCCCCCCGCCGTGATGTGGCGTGGGGGAACGAAACCCCCGCCCTCCCCGATCACGCCCGTTATCGCGAGCAATAAAAAAACAGGCCCTTGTGGTTCTTTGCCGTGGCGGCCCTCGCGACGCCAGCGCAAACCCCGGGCGCACAGGTGCACGCCTTCCGCAAGGACGTGAATGACCCTGACCGCCAGTCGTTCCCTCGCATCGCGTTGTCGTCGTCGTCGTCGTCGTCGTCGTCATACTCGTCGTCGTCGTCGTCGTCGTTGTCGTCGTCGTGGTCGTGGTCGCGGTCGTGGTTGTGGTCGTGGTCGTCGCCGCCGTCGCCGTCGCCGCCGTCGTGCCGTCGCCGTCGCCGTCGCCGTTGTCGCTGTCGTCGTCGCCGCCGTCGCCGTCGCCGTCGCCGTCGCCGTCGCGGTCGCCGTGCATGCCTCGTTGCTAAGCTTTCTATGCGGAGAGGTTTCGAGCGCAGAGTCTTTCTGTCAGTCATTCAATCAGTTTTTCAGTCAGTCAGTCAGTCAGTCTGTCTGTCTGTCTGTGTATCTGTCAGCTCTCTCTCTCTCACCCCACTTTCTCTCTCTCTCTCTCTCCCTCTCCACTGTGTAAAGCCCTCTCCCGCCGATTGCGATGTACCAAGTCCCGCAACTTCCACTTAAGATCGCACACTCGGCGAATACACCATAAGTTGAAACAATTGGACGAACTTGGCGGGATGGTTATGATGTCAGATGTAGCGCGAACGCACCTTGTTTGCCTCGCTCCTCTCATCTTCACCCCTCTCATCTCTCTGCGCCCTCTATTATGTCAGCACCCCTCGTCTTCTCGCCCCCTTCTATCTTGTCATGTCGTGTCCTGCCTTCCTCCTGCCCTCTCCAGTCCGCTTCTGTCCTCTCCTGTCCTCCCCCCTGTCATCCTCTTCTTCCCTTTCCTCTCCTCGCCCCGCCCCCTCGTTCCGCCCCCCCCTCTCTCTAATCGGTCCTTCTTCCCTTTTCCTTCCCCTTCACCCCCCTACGTGCACCCCCGTCGCTCCCCTTCATCCCCTATCTCCCGCATCCCTCCTCGTTCCCCCTGCCCCCCTCCTCCTCCTCCTCCTCCTCTCCTCTCCTCCTCCTCTCCTCCTCTCTCCTCCTCCTCCTCCTCCTCCTCACCTCCTGCACACCCCTCATCCCCTCGCCCCCTTTCATCCCGTCGCCCCCCCCCCCCCCCTCCTGGCGACCAGGTTCCACGAGTCGCACCTCGCTTATTATTACAACAAGTACTTCAGAAAGGCCGCGGCCCCAGGGCGCCCCCGCCGACGCGGGCGCCGCCGCGCCCCCCGTGCACACCCCAGTCCCCAAGGGAGGAGGATGAGGTCGAGGAGGGGCAGGAGGAGGAGGAGGAGGAGGAGAGGAGGAGGGGAGGAGGAGGAGGAGGAGGAGGAGGAGGAGGAGGAGGAGGAGGAGGAGGAGGAGGAGGAGGAGGAGGAGGAGGAGGAGGAGGAGGAGGAGGAGGAGGAGGAGGAGGAGGAGGAGGAGGAGAGGAGGAGGAGGAGGAGGAGGAGGAGGAGGAGGAGGAGGAGGAGGAGGAGGAGGAGGAGGAGGAGGAGGAGGAGGAGGAGGAGGAGGAGGAGGAGGAGGAGGAGGAGGAGGAGGAGGAGGAGGAGGAGGAGGAGGATCCGAAGCCATTTTGGCTCAAGGCTAAACGTTGCGAAGGGCTATAAACGCCCGAGGTCCAGCGATTAGCTTTGGACCCCTCCGTAGCGACCGGCTCTTCAGGTTGCTTGGGGCACGAGGTGCCCACGGCTTTCCATATTTCTCAGGTTGAGGGACCTCATCCCTCACTCTTCCACGCTCGTTCTTCCCGCCTGATGGCCCCACGTGATTATGGTGCTGGATGGAAGAAGAAGTCTTGGCAGCAGAAGTGGAAGTGCACAACATGCAGTTGTTCGAAGAACGAAGGATGGTGGACTTGGTGCAAGCACTGTGGTGCGCAGCGCAAAGAGGTTCAAGCAGCATCAGGAGCCCAGCCGTCGGGAGTTTGGAGCTATGCGTTTCAACATGCTCGCGGTGATGCTGGCAACTATGGCGGGGGCGCTCCTCCGCCTCGCGCTGTGGGACTGCAACTGGGAGAAGTCCATGGCGGCCATCGGAGACGATGACGCATCTTGGAAGTTGGAGGCGATCATCAAGCAGCTCGAAGACGCAGCGAAGCCCCAGTCACCTTCGGTCGGGGTGGCGCAGTACGCGATGGAGCAGGCCCGCCAGCAGATGGAGGCCGCAGTCACGGAGTGCTGAAACCCTGGAGTCCCAGGCGCAACAGGCACGAGAGCGGGCTGCAGATGCGTATAACACATTCGAGCGGTGTGAGCAGATATACAAAGAGTCGGTGGCCAAGCTCGCATCTGAAGTGGTCGCCACAAAGGATGCGTGTGTTGCTAGCGAAGCTCAGCGCATCAGCCTCCAAGCCCTCCTTGCCGGTGAAACTATCGAGCTCGATGGTAACGGCCTGATCGGATTGGATCTGGAAGGCATCGAGAATAGCGAGGGTGAGAAGGACGAACTCAACAGTCGCAAGGCGGCCTTGTTGGCAATGGTGCAGGAGGTGACCAAGGAGGCTTTCGGTTCCATGCAGGAGAAGTGTGTCAAGATGGTCGAGGAACAGCGCCGCTTCAACCAGAGGATGCAGGCCAAGCGTCGTAGACGAGATGAAGAGGATGCTACAGGTGATGGGGGAGTTGGCCAGCCAGCTCAGGCTCCACCAGTGGCGACTGCTGGCCCTGCGGCGGCTGCGGCGTAGGCAGCAGCAGCGCCAGTGGCTGCAGGAGCCCAGGCCAGCCCAGCGGCTACGGCAGGTTCGGCCGCAGTTCCGTCAGTCAATGAGCTTTTTCAGAAGGCCAAGTCCTGTGTCAAGGGCGGCAGCAGCAGCAGCAAGGGCAGCAGCAGCAGCAGCAGCGCCAACGGCAAGGGCTCGGCCACTGAGAAAGCAGGGCCCAGGAGGCCTGGGCTTTAGCCTAGGAGACCTGTACCTTCGCACGGTCAACACCACGAGCTGGAAGCCGTGCTTGTCGTACATCGAGGCCTAGGCGCAGGCTCGCAGAAAAGAAGCACTTTTTCGGCAGGCTCTCCGGGGTGGCAAGTCGAGTGTGTCTCCCAGAGGGCCCCACATTTTTCTCTTGCAAGAAGTAGGAGTCTCGCAGGATCGGAAGCACGACTGCGAGGAGATGTTGCGTGATCAAGGGCTGCTGGCAGCGGTAAGTCCTTCGCGCACCACAGAGGCTGGGGCGCTCTCTGGGGGAGTTGCTATTGGGGTCCCAGCTTGCATTGGAATGGGAAATCCTCCTGGGCGACCTCAACCCCTTCAGTATCCGCATCGTGTCTTGGTGAAATGGAACAATCCAGTGATACTTGGGGGGTTCTTGGCCGTCTCGGTGTATTTGCCGACTTCTGATCCATTTGGATCGGAAGGGGCTCTGCTGTTGAGTCGGTTGGGTGAGTTTTTGCATGCCGCCTCGTTGCCGTTCCTGATCGGGGGAGACTGGAATGCACCGCCAGCACTACTGGGGCGTCTTGGATGGGCGAGTAAACTTCGAGGTCGTATCGTAGCCCCAGCATCTCCTACTTGCACGGCAGGTAAGCGAGAATGGCGGACGTTAGATTACTTCGTGGTCTCTGACGTGCTGGCGCCGTCAGTGGTCTCTTGCACGGTGGCGTCGAATGCGCCTGTCCAGCCTCGTCGCCCTGTGTTGCTGAGGCTCAGAGGCAAGCTGATCCCCCACAGTCCTGCAGGCACCGCGCAAGTTTCCTCGAGAGCGCCCACATGGCCCACTTCCTGCACCTTCTGAGGAATGGAACGGAGTACGTCAGAGTATGGGGGAAGGAGGAGACCAGCGTCAGATGAATTCAGTTTTCGGAAATTTTATCCGGTTGTTAGAGAATGAGCTTCTGGCAGTGCATGGAATTCCCGAGGCTGAGCGAAAACGATATATTGGACGGGGGCGGGGCTGGAAGCTCAAAACCATCCCTGCCCTTCCCCCCTCCTCTGGCCCTTAACCTGCGGCCTGCCCAGTCAGCAGGGCTTGGAAGAGGTGGGGGAATTGTGCCCGGGAGCTGTCCAGAATTCGAGCCCAGGGCTCTGTTAAGGATGCTGTGGGAGCTGCGGCGCTGTTCGCCAAGATACTCCGCGGCGCCCCTGAGATGCGTGGGACTGAAGAGTGGAAGAGTATGTGGTATCTCGATGCAGGGTATCTGTCTTGGTGCGACGCTGGGGCTCTATATGATTTGCATGGGCGTGCTGGAGGCTGCGCTTAGAAGCTGGAGGCGCAGTTTGCCAGCTCGCGTGCTAAGCAGTGGCGGGGTTTTGTCCAGGAGGCAGTGCAGGCAGGAGCAGGCCGAGCTCACCAGTGCACGAAGCCCCCTGTAGGTTGGCGCCCTGTGGTGCCCCGACAAGGACAAGCTCCGCCTGGGCCCGCAGACCTCATAGAGCAAAACCTCCAGGAATGGGGGCGCATATGGGACTCTAGTGGCTCTAGCAGCAGGCCCCTAGAAGATCCAGCAGGCGTGTTCCAGAAGCTGGGGGACATTTTGAAGGGCTTCCCCAGCCCCGTCATGGACTTCAGCCCCGAAGATATCAGATAAGTAGTTAAGAAGATGAAAGCTTGGGCGGCGCGTGGAGTCGACAGGCTTGGACCTCGTGATTTTCTTCTGCTATCTGACGAATGTTTGCTGGCGCTGAACGCTTTGTGGGGCTGGATGCTCCGAGGCGGGGTGGTGCCGTCGCAGATTTCTCTTGCCTTGTAGCCAGCGTTGCCGAAGCCAGATGACGAGGGTCACAGGCTCATTGCGCTTCTCAGTGTGACGGTTCGGTTGTGGAGCAGATGTGCTAGACGCGTAGCAGCCGCGTGGGGGCGGGGGCATAAGAGGAGTCATTCTTATGGGACGAAAGGGGAGTCTTGTGAGAGAGCAGTTTGGGGGCAAGCGTTTGTAGCGGAGCGTGCGACGGCGCATTTTTTTGTTTCTTCTCCCTCCGGTGGCGAACGTGCTGGTGGATCTTGCCAAAGCCTACGAGAAGGTGAAGCATCTTCAGCTCGGAGCGGCTGCTCGGCGGCGCAGTTTCCCTTTGTGCCGCCTGCGTGTGTGCTTGGTCGTTTATTTTTGCCCGCGCGTGCTACTAATGGGCCTTCTCGTTGCCGGGCCCTCAGTGGTATATGCAACTATCTTGGCAGGATGCGGACATGCAGCGGCCTCATTGAGGGTCCTTCTTCTTTCGGAGCTAGATAATGTGGTTCGGGGGCACTGTCTGTGCAGGTTCTCTAACGTGGTCGATGACATCGCGGTTCAGGTGATAGCAACTGCCAAGTTAGCCAGGGGCTCGGCCGTCAAGGCCGCGCGCGAACTTTGCGACGGCCTCGAGGCCAGACAGCTTATTATTTCTAGAAGTACAGGTACATTGGTGGCCTCTACTGCTGAATTATCTGCTGGCATCTGCGCAGGGCATAAGCAGTGCGGGTTCAAATCGGAGCATTCGGTTCGGAATCTCGGTTGTGATTGCTCGATTCGGGGTCGGGCTGCTCGTGCCCAGAAAAATCGGACGTGCAGGGTCAGATTGAGGGCAGGTCGGTACCGTTCGCTCAACTCCCAGTTCAAAAAGCTCACGTCGGTCTCGCGTTCGGGTGCGCTTCCGCTGGCAGTTTTTTTTTTTTGTGGTGGTGTTGCTTGTTTCCTCTTCTTCTTTTCCTTTTCTGACAGGCGCCTGCAGTGCCTCAGATCGGCGCCGAAGGCATTTTTGGGCCAACGCGAGGGCGTGCGAGAACTATTCAGTTCGCTCTCTCAGGCAATGAGGCCGCTGACCCAGTTTATATCGGCACTTCGGCACCTCTGGTGTTCTGGGGCGAAGCGGTTTGGGGCTCGTGGGCTCCGAAGCAGCAGATGGGGCAGGTCTTCAGGTTGTACGTTCAGAAGTGTCCTGGGTTGTCCTGGTCGGGTGTTAGAGGTCCCACGGGGGCTGTTATCTGCGCGCTTCAGAGGATTAAGTAGGGTCCTGTGAGTTACTCCAAGTGGGTTGTGCCGGCTGAGTTGCCGATGGACCTCCGCAAGCTTAGGAGTCATAATCCCAAGCGCCTCGTGGACATAGCAACTAAGGAGAGTTGCTGGGGCGACCTGCGTTGGGGGCGCGGCGGCGTCGCCCACGCCAGGCCCATGCTGGAGCCAATTGCCCAGGTCTGCGAGGAGCTCAGGAAGAAAGGGGAGGCCCTGGAGGCCTCGTTGTTGGCTACCCATGTGCCTGGGGGATT